GAATGAATGGAATTGCCTCAATTTGAATTTTTAAATTTCAGTATTTTCAGGCTCTCATAGGATATCCCTATACGAGTGCTACCCTCACAGAATCGGTAGTGGAAAATGCAGTCAAAGATGACTGTCAGCTTGGAAGAAGCAGGACATAGAGTGATTTAAAGTGAACAAAAGAGTAATGATATCCTGTACTATTAACACTACAGGAAAAACTAAAATAGCAGAGAAGAGAGGTGGTGCTTTTTCATTCAAAGTGTATGCTAACTGTGTATTGTTCAATAGACAAAAATAGAATCTTTAATGGAATCTGGGATGAAATCCCATGATAAAATTAAAAATTTTGGCAATCCCTTAAATTAATCTCTGACTTCAAATATGGTCCCTGTAGAGGTGGGGACCTGATTAGGAGAGACTTTGGAAACAATTGCTGGGAAGTAGTAAGATCTCCACAAACTCAGAGTACACTAACCTAACTGGCTTTTTCAGTAGCCTTATCTAGGGTGAAATATGGACTGAAATTTTTAGTCATGCACACTTTTTTGTAGAGAGTAATGAAAATCACTACTATTGAGTACATTAGCACCATTTTTGGTACTTTTTGCTGTTGAAGTCTCAGACCTGAATGGGACTATGTTTATAGGTGCCAGGATAGTGCTGCTTAAATTATGAAAGAAAAATACGGTGATAAGAAGACAGAGATTAGAAACAGAAAGTCCAAAGGAAAAATATGGTATCATGGGTATCACGCAAAAAAACATGTTAGAGATAGCTGTTTCAGCCTGTTGCTTATGTCAGAGATGCTGAAGATCAAATTGAAAGAAAGATTCTTGTTGATACAACTTGTAAAGATTCTTCCATGGGACCAAAGCTGGAATAGATTTGAAATTAGTTCTGGGCTAAGACTCACATTTCCGAGACTGCCCTTTGGAAGCTACTCTAGGTAAAATCCAGTCATATAGATAAGTGTATTTTCTCTTAGCACAGTAAATTTAACATCTGGTAATCACCCATATTTGTAGCAGGCATAAATTCAAACATATTATTAGATTTAATATTTTGATTATCACCTTGAAATACATACACTGATCTTATGTAGTGGTTTAACAAAGGAAATTAATCAGACTCTAATACACAAGAGGATACAAATCACTAAGGACCAGCTCTGTCACCTTTAGTTGTCCCTGAAGTGTTTATTGAACTTCCTGTATATTTTATGCTTGGATGTGCTTCATGCTCAGACATGGAAAACTACTGTATTCTATACTAACAGTAGTTTCCAAAAGAAATGTGTTAAGATGTAACAGTTTTGGATTAGATCTCTAATTTCTCTCTCATTTTGACAAACACTCTCAGCAGACACACAAAAGTATGGAAATGGAAAAATCCCCCAGTCCCCAAACCAAAAGCCACAGACTGGGAGGAAATACTTGTCAGAACTGAGAAATTATCAGACGTACTTAATTTCTTAGATTCTTAGTGAATCCTAGAGTCATTTACAATTAAAATTAATAAACTGTTAGAAGCTTTATCTTAGGTTTGGTTGTGGAGAGAAAAAAAAATATCTTAATTTCTAAATGCTCCATTTTTGATTGCCTAAACCGACAACTTTTGCAGCATCAGATCACTCAATAAAAAAACTACAACAATTTTAATCATTATTTTAATTAAATACAGAAATATAGAAAATGAACTTTGAAATATCATACCAGGTTAGGGCTTTATTGCAATGATTTTATAAGTTTCACCTGTAAGAGCTGGGGCCAGGATTTGGAGGTGGGGCTGTGCGCTGACAGTGTCGTGAGTGCAGTGACAGCCAACCATACATGCCCATTGTTTTGCATCATTAGCACTGTAGTGAATCTCAGGAAAAAAAAAAAAAAAAGAAAATGTCCAGTCTTTTTTATTACTTCACTTTTTTTTTTCTTTTTTATTTTTTCTTTATAAAGCACCTAATTTAGGCCACAGACAAAAAGAAAATGTATCTTGAATATGCATCACAGGTTCCAAAAATGAAAAGAAATTGGATTTGGATAGCACTTACTCAATAGACAGATATGATACATGGTAAGAAGGTGCACTGTCTGCCCTGTGATAGATTAAACTACTTTGTAGGAAAATTACTGTGAGCCAGTCACCACCACCACCGTGGCTAAATCTTTAATAAAATTCTCTTCCATATTCAAGAGCGAGGTATGAAGTACACAATAAGCAGAGTGGAGTAGAGTGCCATTTATCAAACCACAGCTAGGTCTGTAATCTCCTGCTTTATCCTTTTTTAGTACTTTATTTGTCTTTATTGTTGCAAGGAAGCACATTTACCCAGGGCACTGGGCTTTTGGTGCTGATAAACCTTTTGTTTTAAATTCTACCTGTGGGGTTTTTTCTTTTTTTCATTTTTTTTTTCTTTTTTTTTTCTTTTTTCCTTCTTGATCAGATATCCTTCCAGTCACTCTATGGGAGTAATTAGTCTGTTTTGGTGGTCCCTGGCTTGTTACATATTCTTTCACCCTTCCTTGCCTGACCTGACCCTACCTCTCTTGTCCCTATGCTACAAATAAAAAAAGAAAAAAAAAAAGGAAAAAGAAAAGTTATTATAACATCTAAGATATTTTAAAAAGAATACTCTTGCCTGTGCAGAAGACAATCTGGGGTGTGTATTGCATAACGCTTTTTTATAGGCTATTTGGCAAGATGGCAGTGTTGAATCATGTTGCAGTTGGCCCCTGGGTGGCACTACATGGCTAGATCTGGGACCAACAAAAACATTTTTTGGGTAAAGGCAGAAAGCATAATTTTAGCATTTTTCTTCTTAAAAATGAAAGACTTTAACTAAATTTGTTTTTATTTGTTGAATTCAACACAAATTCACCGTAATAGTTAACTGTGTTCCTCTAATTGAATGATGTTCCAAAATGTTCTGTGTATCTTGACTAACTGGTAATGTCTGGATCATTTTTGGGAACACACTGATATTAAGTATAGATTCAGTGGAAGGGTTCCTATGGGTAGAGGTATGTGACTAGAACTGCTTTGTGCTGCCTGAATATGCATACTACCAGTCTGTGCTGCAGCCCTGGGGGTGATTTTTTTAGTACTATTATAACCCTTTTTATTGTTTGAATAGCAGTTTTATGACAAAACATTTATATTCAGCCTGCCTTTGTACTTGACTGAAAGAGAGCAATCACTGAGAATGATAAGGCAACAATGGTAATGATAACTGCATTTATGGAGGCTTACAGAATTTAAACGGGCATGCAAAAATAGACTTACAATAGTGCTCTACCTGTATTTGAACTGGCTTGGGTATATTTTTTGTGCCTGGCCCATGTTTGATTGTTGATGGATATGTTCCATTTTCTCCCGTTTTTCTCTCTTATGGCATTTCTTCTGTATGAGGCTTACCTGTGTGAATGTTAGGTTTATCTTAGCACTGAAAGGTGTCCTAGTAAGATGGGGGAACATAACCATTTTTCAAGACCCATATCCCTGAAATTATTGCTTAACTTACATATTAGGATTTCAGAGTCTGTGGTATTGCGATCTTGCGTCACAATGGTCATTACCTGTCTTTCAAAGTCCTACATCTCAAGAAAAATAGTCAATTCTTTCACTTTCCTTTGAGAAAAAGTGAGGAATAATACTGGACATTGGAAAGCAATCCAAGAGTTTAAGATCAGTCCTTCTGTTTCCCAAATATTCTTAAGCCAAATCAGTTCTAACTTTTTCTTCTTTTGCTATGAGATTTTGTCTCCTTTGAGGTTTACTCAGACATCTCCACAAGGACACACATGCACATTTATGTATTTCCTTAAATTTCTTGCTTCTGCAAGAACATAAGAGAGCAATGAGAAGGTTCATTGTGTTCTGGAAGGAAACATAGTTCCTGGACCTCTTAGTTTTGTGTGAGAGGAACAGAATTACACCAAGTCTACATATATTTTAGTATGGATTATGAGGAAAGGTGTGCACTATACATTGTCCTAAAGATATTTTAGGGCTACATTGCTCACAGACTGTAAAGCAGACTTTTCCTTGTTAGAGGGTTTCTTACTAAGGAAGAGACTGCTCTCAGGGAGTTAGAATGGCAGATTCAGCCAACTCATTTAGATATTATTTTTCAACATTTTGAAATAATTTTTTCAGGGAGCTATTTTATATAAAAACACTTTTCTATAAACCAAACCAATGTATATATTTATATAGAAGTGAATTTTTGTGCATATTTTTTAAGGAAGTGAATGAGCATTTTAAAATTTTGAGCCATACATTTAGATTTTATTATTCCTGGGAGATCAGAAAATCAGTATAGCCCAATTTCTTTCATATTATAGTTTTCCTATGATAAAGTTTCTTTCTGTATTTTACTTTTTCTGTACTTACCCATGCATTAGAAATTTACAGTATATAAAAAATTTGGTAGCAAAAAATTGTGAAAACTAAGTGAATCAAAATGGAAAAAAAAAAATAGTTGGTAAAACCAAAGATGTCTTTTATTTTATTTGTGTGTTATTTTTCTATTTCAGAAGCTCACTAACTACACTCCATTTTTTAATGTGTATACATATGATCATCGCATGTTAACCTCTTCATGTGCTTGACATTTTTCTGCACTAGTTAGGCTTTAAATATGTTTAATAATTCAAATTCTCTTTTGCAAATGAAATATAAGTAATGCAAACTAATTAATTAGCTTTGCCTAACAGTATTCTGGAATGATGCATTCAAAGACATGTCATTTTCTTCTAAATATCTTTCTAACACTTCTGTGCAAATGATACCTTTTCCCCAGGCCCGGTTACTTAGTGGATATTATTGAACAAATGTCTTTTATAGGATCGAAAAAAGTGAGGCATTATGTGAAAGAAAATTTTGAAAATGTGCATGGACTATTTCAGAATATGCTTAGTGAATATTAAGCAAACACCTGAAGTTCCTGTGCTACTGCCTAGAACCAGCACTTCATTACCTTTTACGTGCAGTGACTTTGAATTTTTTATTAGGTACTGGTCTCTTAGCCTGTAAGGCTTGTGCATGATGTCTCTGAGAGCAATTTCCAGCAGAGTGAAGCCTTATCACAGATTCACCTAAAAGGTAAGGATATTTTTTAATTTTTAGTTCACATGCTGAACAGCTGCCTGCTGAACACCTGCCCACGGAGCAGGAAAGAAATTTGGTTTAAGGGTTGATTATACATGTCTTACTTATATACAGTAAGTCCAGAAATAGGCATGATGAACTTCAGATAAACCCAGAATATGCAAATAGAGATTACAATACCAGAATATTTACCCCTTAATTTTGTCCTCCACTATATTTTTAGTGGTTTGGGTGGGTTTTTTTTGTGGTTTTTTTTTCCCTCAGGTTAGTGAGGACATAGGAAAAAGGCTTAAACATACTTCTGATTTATTTAGTTTCTCCCAGATCTGCAGTGCTAATATTTTAAAAAGCAAAGTTGAACTGTGAATCTGTCAGGTAACGTATGTAAAAGAATCATTGTGCTTGGCATTCGTCGTATTTGCTGATGATGTTAAAAAATATGAATGATTATTAAGAAATAACAGCAAAGCAAGAGGAAATGATGAAAAATTAAGAAAGGCAACTAGTAAGAATGAGAGGAGAAAAGGCACAACAGTAAACCTAGAGATAATGGAGGACTGCTCTAATTACTTTTTCACTGAAAATGGCTTAAGTGGACTTTTGAGAGTGAGGGACCTTATTAAAATGGATCATGAGTGATAGATTTTAAGATTATTAGTTTGAGGAATTCAAATCAGGTAATTTCAGGGTAAACAAGAAGAAAGCATGGGCTACACTCAGAATGTGATGATACACTGATGGTTAAAAGAATAAACTTTGGTAAAAGAATGGAAGGAGTGACAAAGTTTGAAACCCAAGGACAAAAAAAATTGGTCTCCAATTTTCTCATGTTAGCATCATAAATTTAGCAGTGTCCATATTAGAAGTTTTTGTTTTTTCTGATAGGAATCTTCTCTTGGACTTTCTTCTACAGACTTATTTGCTTTTCCAATTTATTTTTCTAATTTCCAATTTGTAAATAATGTCTTGTGCCAAAATTTGCATCTGGATTGGTAGCTGTCTTTCAGCCTGATGTTTTATGTTTCAGAACAAGTTACTGCCATTTCTTCTTTAGCCAATCTTTTATCCACCTTTCAATTTCACTGCTTGCCTAAGTGTTTTCAACTTTAACTAACATTTCACGCATGTTGTTTCATGAAATACCTTGCTGAAATCCAGATGGATATTTCCTCAAGCACATCAGTTATCTTATTAAAAGAAAGCTACTGGTTTAGTCTTCCTGCAATTACTATATGTTGTATTCTAAAGCTGGAAATGTCTCATTTTCTTGATCATATGAAAACAGAGCTTTTAGTGAAATCACTGCTCATGCAAAGGGAAAGCCTTGTCATCCACACTTTCTGAACAGAGAATTTGGGTCATGCCATTTAAAAAAAGGCTTTCTTGAAAGCAGTCTCTTTTTGATACTGGGACCTTAATCCATTCCCCAATCAGACTGAGCATGCATATCATGACAAATCTTTCCTCCATTAAAATCGTTTGCTATCCTAAAATGAATTAGCTGAATCAATATACTCTTCCCGAGGTTTCCCTGAGGAGCCAGGAGCAGCTGCTAGAGCAGCAAGTGCTGCCTGAACAGTCAGACACCACGGCAATGAGGCCACCACTGGTGTCACCAGGGAACAGGAAACAGACCCTTGTAGGGAACTGGGGGAGAAGGTTACTCATGGGTACCACAGCTCTGCTGAGGCAAAACCAAGAATCAGATATGACTGTCAGAAGTGGCAAAGCTGTGCAATCCTGGAAATGTATAATAGTGATACAAACTCCAGGAGAACAAGATAAGAGAGAATGCTGCTGTTTCAGATGTGTCATGCTCCTCTAACTACTTGAACTTCTTGATCAGCTGTGTGGAGACTTACCTTCATTTAATTAATTAGATTAATATGTTCTTAAGGCTTGTTTGAAGTAAAATTTCTTGCTATTTGGTTTCTTATGCTTGGCTTCTTGTGATAGATACCACAATATGTAATAATGAAAGTATTTAACAATGAACATATTCTCCACCTTTTTCTGATGGCTGTTTTCTTCCAAAGACATTTGGACCATCCTATTGCTGCAGCAAATAGGAGAAACATGGTAAAAAAGAAGTCAGACATAAATAAGTTGAAAAATTTGAGCTGCTTGCTTTCAATTGGCCTAGTTTGCACAAGTTAGCAGACTAGAATTTCTGCAGAGATGGTGAATATACTGAGTTTTTGCATTTTTTATATTTTTTCCTAAATGGAAGCAACAATGCCATGGAAAAAGTTTTTTTTTTTCAATTGAAAAATATTATTGGTAGATAATTAGGGCTTAGTATTTTTCTTCTTTTTTATGAAATTAATAATTTTTAAGGAAAGGCTGTATTAACGCATTGAGAATTACAGTTAAAATTTATTCTCAGCCTTGGAAGAGCCAATGGTAGAACTTGATTTGTAATTCTCCATCAAAATTATTTTTCAATAGATATAATTAATGATTTGAAATTAGAAGTGGCATTAGTACGAGTCAACAGTAGAACTCCCCTAATATAGTTTGGAAATGAATTCTTGACATTTTTGCAATTAGATAACTGAAAGTTTGAAAAGTGATTTTTTTTTTTTTTTAATCATCTAATTTGTACTAAAAATTGCAAATCAATACAAAAATATTTGGAGTGTTTTCAAATTACTGACTTTATGTATATGAATTTTTCATAGTTTATAGGTTTTTTTACCCTGATTATTTCAATAAGATGGTATTTTGAAATATACAATTATTTTTGTATCTACCCCACTTCCTTGTGATGTTTGCTTGATGTACCCTATCAGCTGGTCTTTCAACAGCCTCCTTAAGCAGTGTATTTTATTGTTTACATGAGACTTTAATTCAGTGAGCAGCTGTAGTTCCTGTTTGTATGTCATGGCTGTGCACGCTTGTACAAGTTTTGTACCCTGTAGTTTCTTGTACAAGTTGCAGATTTGTGTATTGTGAAATCACTGAATATGGTTATGAAAATCTCTTATGATGGTTACTTTCATCAGCAAATAATATAGTTTTCAGTATATGACACTGATTCCTTCTTAAGCATTTTTTTTTTTCATTATCAAATTGACGGTGCATTTAAATATCAAGGCTGTATTGCTTTTCCTGGTAGTCATTTGAGCTGTTAGGATTGTTCTTTTTATAACAATTGGGTCTTTTCTTAAAACCTCTTCCTTTGTTCAGCACAACTTTAATGTGTGGGACATGTCTCCTTTCATCACAGCAGGGGACACTGTGTATTTGTGGGATAAACTAGTTCCATATTAGCAATGTGGAATCTGTTTGAGCTTGTTTGCATATTTTGATAGTGCCTTTTGTGATGGTGTTGGGGAATTCTGTCAGCAATAGTATTTTTTTTTTTCTCAATAGTTAATTAATATCCTGTAAATATGCTGTTTCCCATTAAGCCTAAATGCTATTTTTATTGTCCATGAATATAGGGGATGTTGATAATAGCACAAAAATAAACTCGCCTGAAATTAATGGTTGGTATTGATGACTGAAATGCCAACACTGTAACTCACATTTTGCTGCTTAAAAGAGAATCTCTCATGGTTGCTGTGTTGAAAGCTTTTAGGGTTGTTTGGAATATGAGTGTGTAAGAGTTTATTCAGGGCATTGGAGCTGTGAAAGCACTTAGACCATGTGAGTCTCCACATCTCATACTAAAAGTTTCATACATGGAGAACTTCAGTGGCAATCTGAAGCAGGTCAGGTACCAGGGTTCCTTGTGAAATGTCTGGTGAGGGAACTTGTGTGCCCCAGCGAAGATACATCAAGGAACTTTTTAGTCTGTGAATTTAAGTCAGATTTAGGTAACAAAGTACTCACCTTGGCTGGTCTAGTGTAGCTTTAGACATGCATGGAAAAAGGAACCTAGGCAATTTAGGTGTATTGGTGATAAAAGCTTATATATATCTTTTTATGTCTTCACATTACGTACCACTGTTTGATCCAAGTCCCACTTCAGATGCCTCATTTGATTTGTAAATCTTACTCTTTCCTTCTTATTTTATCTAAAGATGCATGTTGATAAAAGTTATCACTTTAAATTACTTTTTATTTATCGTAAGAGCAATCTTGACTATTTTGCTTGGGAGTGGTCTGCTGTTCCCATTAGAGGATATAAAGAGTAGAGTTAACATTTTGTTATTTCTTTAGAAAAATTAATTTTCTAATTTGATTTTTAATCCTGCCTAAAGAAAGCCAGAATTCATTGAGCTACACTATCAAATTGTCTTGTTTTCATGGAATTTTTGAGGTTGATCTTATTTTTATCTATTAAAAAAAATAAAATATTTTAGACTCAATTTTTTCTGGGAAGGACAGGAGTGAATATTCAGGGAGGCTTTTTGGAACCTGCACTATTCTATGCAAAAGATCAGCAAAGAAATAATTTACCTAGGAAGATTTTTTTTTTAAGAAACCAGCCAGCAAGATTTTTCCTTCCTATAAGGTGCACATTTAAACAGTTTGTAATGTTGACTTTTGGACAAAAATGTCTCTTTCTCCTCCTATGATGGAAAGGAACAGCTCAATAATAAAAAATACTAATTTTTATGTCTTTCACATTCATGTCTGACAAGACATGCAATTTATAAAAGAAAATTACAAATCACATTATGAACTGCTTAAGAATTTCATGAAAAGACTTCTGGAAGAGAACATGAAAAATGTACATAGGGACTAATATTTTTTCAGAAGCTTAGACATGGTATTTCCTTTTTCTTAAATGGAAAAAATGTATAAAAATACATGAATGTCTTTGATATCTCACAGAAGAAGTTTTAAAATTGAATGAGAATTTCATCATGAAAATAGAAGGAAGTTTTTTGGTTAGGTTAAAAGAAAATGTGAATATTTCTAGTGTGGACTACATGAAGGAAGTATATGACTGCATCCAAATTGCTGCTAACCTAAATACAAATTCACCTACACATCTGCCTCACAAAGCATGTGATTTAATCACATTAATAAAGTGCATTGGT